AAAAAAAAAAAAAAAAAAAGGAATTACTATTTGTTCCACCAGTTCTATCTGTATAAATCCAAATGAACTAAAAGTAGGGTCTCAAAGACATTTGTATGCCCTTGTTCACAGAGGCAGTATTCACAAAAGCTAAGAGGTGGAAGAAAGCCAAGGGTCCACTGACAGATGAATGGACAAGCAAAATACGGTTTATCTGTACGATGAACTATGCCTTAGAAAGGAAATTCTGTAAATGCTAGAACATGGATAAACCTTGTGGACATTAGCACAAGGTGAATATACTTAACATTACTGAACTGCATACTTCAAAAATGAAATGATAGTAGGTTTTGCTACTATAGTACTGGGCAATCAGCACAAACGTCTAGTAAACTATGTCTCAGACTTTAGCTTACTCATTCTAACCTTCTCTAGTTTGTTACCCCTTGGTGGAGCAGGAAGATCAGTAATCAGTATTTAGGCGTGAGGCAAGAGGCTGGCTGGTGGGTGCCAGGAAACATCTTGAGATAAAAGGTTTACAGACTCAACAACACAGCACATAAGGAGGATAGTCTGACTAGAAGGGAGAAAGAAAGTGTCAAAACCAGACCCCAGAAAATACAAGGAAGTGGAGCACAACGCTTAAAACATCAAGGACTAAAGTTGGTGATTTCAACTAACTCTCCCATGGCATCATCAAGAAATATACAATAATGAAGACTTCTCTGTTCAGGAAGATATGGTCCTTAAGAGTATAATATTAGTTTTATACAATTTCTATCAATCATGGGTAAACTTATTCTTGAAATACAAAATGTGAAGTCCAACACACTTATGTGAAAAATTTTACTCTCCAACAATTATACATCTATGTGACCATTACAAAGGGTTTCTGGAATTGTTTGGTTTATAATATTAATTTAAACAACAGTACATGTTAAAAGAACACCTGAAATTTGTGATCTTTAGATGTCTGAAAACTTAACAAAACTCACAAATATTCCAGCTAATTCTCATTAATACACTACACTCAAGAGACAGTGATCGAAGAGTTTAACAACCAATGAGCCAACCTTTACTGCCCATGAAGACATATCCATCAAAACGATCTCTGAACAGAAGGATGTCATCAGGATTCCTAAAATTAATGTATGCTCTTGAGTAGAGATGAGGATAAAGGCTGAAATACAAGATAATAAAAAAGGTTCATAAAATTGTAAGACTCCTTTATTTTTGCCCTGCCCTTCTTTTCTGGACACAGCAAATTACTTCAGAAAAAAACTTTTATACCAAATGAAATAACTGACTCTCAATTATAACAATTTGGATATTTTGTAGGAAAAAAAAGTCACAAGCCATTAACTGACGTCTTTTAATTACCTGAGAGAGACAATTTAGGTGAGTTTCTCTACAAGGTTAAAGTTTTGGTCCTCAGAAGTAGAAAACAAAGGCAGAGTTATTTGAAGATCATCGCTCAGCCTCAAGGCTGGAATTAGCCTGGTCTAGACCTAGATGTAGCAGACAAGGCTCCCATGGGACTTCTGAATTCGTGTGGCACCCTGTCTGAGGTATGCAGGAAGGCTGAGGCCAGCTCATCCATCTGCGGGGGCAGGACTCACAAAGGCAAGCAGTGGCGAGCAGCAGGCACAGTCTTTAGAAGGTGGCCTGGGAGCCACCCGAGGTTGACCGGAGTTATTCCAAAGAAAAATTTCTATGGTTACCACAAATGAAAAATCATAAATGTAAATTTAAAAATAAATATCAATCAAGTCCCTGAATTCTAGCTGATCCATTGCCTGTCGCTGTCTGCTAGTCTTGTTTTGCGGGTTCTGGAAGAGCAAGACACAGGGGTGTGGTTCCTGGGCCCTCCCTGGTGAACCCCGCCAAGACGTGCGCGTGACGTGGTTCTACAAATTGGATTGCACGCAAGACGCTCAGGACACCTAGGTACAAAAGCCGAGCGCTTCCCGCTCGGCCCGGCCCGGCCCCGGCCCGGCCCCGGCCCGGCCCGGCCCGGCCCGGCCCTCGCAGCTCTCACCTGCGATCCGCGCCGGCCACCTCGAAGTAGTCGTGCGCGGGCAGCGGGCGCAGCTGCTCCTCCAGCCGCTCCTTTGTGAGGCCAGGAGGCAGCCGCCGCAGGACCACCTGGGGTGACGCTGGCTGGTCATCCTGCCGGCCTCCGCCCGGGTGCCCTCACCGCACGCGGAAACCCTACCTCGCGCGGGTCGGCACTGTGCCCCAGGGTGCAGCCCCACTTTCTCAGCGCCCCGCCCCCAGCCGCCCTCTTCTCGCGAGACTTGCTTATTCGGGCCCCCTCCGCTCCTGCGCCCCGCCCCCACCTTGCTCAGCGCCGTCTTCTCCTCGCGAGGTTTCATGATCCCGCCCTCAGAGCTGGAAGACGAAGCTAGTAGTGTCTGAGGTTCTCGCCGCGGAGATTTCTGGCGGAACTGGACCTCCGTGGCCGATGGTTTCTCCTGCCCGCCTAGACTCTGAGCAGTAACCGCCGCTCCCAGTCCTCCGGAGGTCTCCTTCGACCGCATCCCGTACGCGCCGCCCGCGACAGAACGAAACCTCGCGATAAGCGAGGTGCTGCCCCGCCCCTTGTCCTGCCCTCCCCTGGGTAATGGACGTCCGCAGGCGCAGTGTGAGGGTGTGGGGCCTGAGACTCTGAAGTATCCGGAGGGCACTGAGAAAAATTTACATGTTTCTTTTACATACAGACAACAGTTAGAATAGTTTGTATGTCACATTCTTTCCTATTTTCTCATATTTTTCTTTATTTACTTGGCTGTGTTTTTCACTTACAGAGATAGGTAAGGCTCAACCCTTCTCTTTTCTCCGACAGCCGGAAGGGGGCGCGACCCGAATGACAGCAGTCGTATCCCCTTTACTCTCGCTCGGTCTATTTTTCATTTTATTGCTTATGCCTTTGGTGTTACATTTAGTCAGAAACCATTGCAAAATCCAAGGTCAAGTAGATTTTCATGTAGCTTTTCATCTAAAATTACAAGGTTAGGTCTTTCATCCATTTTGAATTAATGTTTGTGTATGATAATACGTAAGGGTCCAACTTAATTCCTTTGCAAATGGGTGTTTAGTTTTCCCAGCATCACTTGTTGAAAAGACTGTCCTTTCCCTCTGGTGAGGTCCTCAGAGTGGTCTGGGACAGAGTCGTAGGATCTTCCCAGCATACTGCAATGACTGTTGCCATGCCCGCCCACCATCAGCCCCAGCACTTTCCCGGGAATGCAGGAGTTGTCGAGCGAACAAGCGCTTCTCCCAAGTGCCGGAGGACTATTGCCAAGACACCTGCAGCTGTCCCACACTCACTCCAGCAAGTATCTGCCTTAGCCTCAGCAGGCTTAAAATGTGGGCCGAACCCGGAGGACTTTGCCTGTCATTACTGTGGAAGTTCTCTAGCAGGGCCACGAAGCCCACAGAACCGCATGCTTAAGGAGCAGCACAAGTCCCAAAAAACCATCACATGGGGTTCTGTTCATCTACTTGTGGTTCTTATCTTGGGTGGTATGGGCCAGTAACACCAGGGATTGACTGAAGAGTTCTGGAGACCAGCAACATGTGGAGAGCCAAAGAAGCAGCAGGAGCTGCTAGGAAGAGCTCCAGAAAGCTGCAAAGAGGGACATGAGGCTTGGCTGCTGCCAAGCATAAAGACTCCTGTGATAAGGTTGATTGGATGAATCCACCGTGTAATGGCTTGTATCTAGATGTCCCCCAAAGCCTCATGTAATCATAGGTATGGAGTTTTGAAGGGTTAGGGTTTAGGATGTGTGGATGTGGATTAAAAGGTGTGATACTGGGATTAGGTGGTGGATAATGAGAAGCCCCACCCTAGGTATGGGTGACACCAATCAATTGGTTTGTAACCTGGGTGGAATATAAAGAGAGAAAGAAGGCAGGCTTGCTACTGCATGTTGCTTTGCTGCCTTCTGCCTCCCACACCATGAATTCT